TTTTTTTTTGAAATTTTCAAATTTTGACCCGGCCGGGTTATGAAAACCATTTAATTAATTTTGCATGGCCTTAGTTTGTATTAGCACTATCGTTAATATCTATTGTAATTTACAGTAAAAAATCTAATTAAAAAACTTACTAGCTATAGTAATACACAGTATATAGTTAAAGTTATATTAGTTTGTATTGATGTTCTATCGTAATTTACTATAAAAATTTAATTAAAAACTTACTTACTATTGCAGTAATGACAATAGTTCTTCGGATTATATATGCTTTAGTGTATTGCATTATACCTGCATTTTGCATTTTCTAACACATCTAAATATTATATATTCTATTTATATTGCTTAAATCTGGAGATTTTGGTAATGAACGCCTTGTATTAATAATAGTTTACAAAATCCACTTTCAGGTAAGTGAAATACGCTTTTAAATGTTTAAAAAATTAAAAAAATAAATATAAACTTATCTAAGATGAGCTAAAAACAAGGCATTGTAGAATGTCTTAATTTATTTTATAGTCTAATTAATACAAAGCTATCATAGTAAATGCCATGTACTTACAAAGTGAAGTTTATCAACAAAAAAAATTTTTTACTTAATAATTTATAATATAAAGCTTATGGTTTTGCTCTATTGTTTGTGTTACTTTAACACCATATTCGTTAAAAATTTTATGACTTTTACTATGACCTGAAAATTTCAATTTGGGCCTTGCTTATATGTGATCTGCGTCACATTCCAATATAAAAATTCTTCAATTAACTGGCAGATCATCAATTAAGCTTTTTAAGTCTGTGATATATGCAAGTCATACTTGTTCTCTTTATATTATTAATTTATGCATTATATATATTGCATTAGCATGAATTATTTTTCTTTTTAAAGTACCTATTTTGTTTTACTTAATTTAGAATCTGTATAAAAAAATGAATATAGGTAAATCACATTCTTGATGTCAAAATTTCATAATATGCCAAACTTTAAATAACTTATTTGTTTGAAATGAGTCCTAAACCTAATTCTGTATATAAAAAATTTGGAATTTCTAGCTATAATATAATGGAGTTTCCTAGGCTTTGCACCCCTGTTTTATGATTATGCATTGCCTGACCAATTAGATTTGAAGATCAAATGTAATATGCAAATTAATTTTGTATACCAAAAAATAAAATTTTTTGGATTTTTTGCAATATCTCAAAACTTTGTCTATAAAACCACCTTTTGTGTTCTAACAAAAAAAATTCCTTGCAAAATTTTAGTATATACTAACTCTATCCTAATTCTAACCTTAGCTCTAACCCTAACTCTAATCTAAATCTAATTAATTTTTCATATAAAAATTGTTTTAACATGGATTTACAAATTATATATAATTTATATATTTATGCAATGAATTAGCATATTACATGGTACAGTATATACATTTATTCTAATATAATTTATAGTTATAAGTGTTTAACATTATAGCAAATTAAAGGCATTTTGTAAAACCTAGTAAATACTATACTATATAGTAAGTTTGGGTCACAATGCTAGTCTCAAAACACCATTTTCAAAATTAGATACTTCAAAGGTTTTTGGCATAAAAAAAAAAAATATATAGTATAAAAATATAAGATATATATATTGTAAAATACAAATGTTAGTTTAAAAACTGTTAATTATATATATTTATATAATGATCTACATTATACATATTTGTTTATTTGTTTACATTTTTTTTTAACCAATTAAAACAAATGTTTGCCATGCTCCATAGGTGTATTTTAGTAAACCTATTTAATATTTTACAAGTAGTACTTAGCAAAATCAAACTTTTTTTTGATAATCAAATACATGTAATTAGCTGACTTTTAAATCAATATAGCAATACAGTATATATTACTATATTGTATTATTGTATTTCTGTATTGATTTAAAAGTCAGATCGTTATATATATTTGAGCATCAAACAAAAGTTTAATTTTGCCGAGCACTATTCACAAGTTTTTGAAATATTTTACATTATATTATATCTTTTTTATAGTTTGTAAATTATTTTAAAACATATAGGTAGAAATTTTCAATTTTGTAATTAGTTTGTGATTATTTAAGTTGAATGATGAGATTAAATAGAATTTGAGCTAATAATATATATGATACAATGTGATTACTAATATTAAAAGTGATTATTTGTTAAATTAATCAACTCTTTTCAACAATTACTCAAACCAAAATTTTTCACTAAATAGAAAAACTAAATTTTTGTTGGAGAGTCATAGCCTACTTAGTGGTTTGTCTAAAGGTCAACTCTGCTAGTGAAACTCCTCTATAGGATGTTTGGCATGCAAGCCAAGAGCATTAGAGTAGTGTTATTTATTATCTGATTTTTTTTTATTAGAGCCTTACTCCCTCTAGTTTTTAATATATAATTTATCAGATCTTAAATATAAAATTTTAAATTTTTTGACCCTCTCCCAGAAAATTACCTAATAATTATTAGCTCACTTATTGTATAAGATAACTAGCAAATGGTACCTTTGTATAAAAAATCTTAACTTTGTCAACAAAACTTTTAGATCATTACTTCAAAGAAGAACACAAGAGAAACAACAAAATATATATATTTTTTAAAGCCACATTTTTTTTACTTGGTCAAGTAGTTCCTCTCTCACTTTCTATCAGTCTTCCAAAATTTCTGCAAAAAATGTGGGATTTAACTTACCTCTTCAAAAGATTGACATTATTTACTTTTCAAATTCAGACAAACTCAGTAGAATGCAACCATGTGATGTGTTTACTTATAAATATGGCGCTACTTCAGAAAAGTTAATTTGAGACCTCTAGTTAAAAAGATATTTGAATATAATCATAAATTAGAAAAATATTTTTTGTTAAGGCTAAGCTTTATAGTAGAGATATACAATTATTGCATTTGTTATATAATTTTTTCAGCCTTACACAGGTTATATTCTTGTTATGAAGAAAGGTGCAATTCCTCTTAACTTTATATTCTTGTTCTATAAAAATTTTTAATTTTTTTTTCTTTTTTTAATTTTTTAATTTTTATTTACTTTGCTCTTTTCTCTTTTCCTTCTTTTGTTCATCTTCCCTTTTTAGTCATAATTTTTTTTTTTTTTATAGAATTTTTTTTTGGATAATTCCAGTCATCTGTAATTTGGTAGAATGGAGTTGTATTAAACCTGAGCTAGGTTTTGCACCACAATATAAAACCAAGTGGTGTTGAACTTTTATCTTAAATTTTTATGTATTTATGTTATTATAAATATTAATAAATAAAATTAGTTACGGCCAAACCTGTCAACATTAAAAAAAAAAAAAAAAGTGATTATTTGTTGGTGATTGTAAAACTGCTTATGAGTTACTTATCAGTTACTTATCAGTTTTTATAAGCAGCATACTAAACAGATTAGCTTAGAATGATCCAAAATTAATCTATTACTTATCAAAATTAACCCGTTATTTATGAGTATAATCACCTAATTTATATAGTCACAGCACTCTACTAAAAATTTCCGCCCATATGATATTACGCCTTATTAAATTTGAAAACATTTTTATTCATTTTTTTATCATTACATCATAAACCAATATATTAAACTTTACAAACTGTTATAATAAAAATTTTTATTAAATAATACCAATTACTCATTTTTTAACAAATATTACACTAATTAAAGTATGTGCAATTATAGAGGTAAAGTCACGTGAATGTACATAAATTGAGGTGCATTAATGGAGGGTCGACTGTACCGATACATAATCACAATTAGACTATCTTATTGCAACGTAATCATATTTAAATATCACAAAATGTGCACAATCCGAATAATAGAAACGTAGTTTTGGTGTAACGCCCCTGAAAATTTTATTAGCAATAACGAGATCATAATGCTATATAATTTTTCAGGGGTTAAGTCTAATATTCTTGGCGAGTACAATATTTATCGTTATACATGTTTGAAAGTTTAAGCTCCAGATTTCACTAGTTTCTAGTTCCTAGTGCTTTTATAATTAAACTATTTAATTAGTAACCATTGGACCAATTTACCAGGCCATTTCCCTCGACCATTCACCAGCAAATTTTTGGTCGACAAACGATTTGACCAACTCTGTATTTGAACATAAATAAAACGCTAAATTAGGCAGGAATCGGAAATAATCAATAATACAAGCAAAATCTCTCTAAAAACAATAGATCTATATAAAATACTAAATATAAATCTGCAAATAGATTAAAATGTTATCGAATATATTTTACAGAATAAAGGAAACAGCTTATTATTGTTGTCCTTCAAACATCTTTTTGATTAATGCGGATGAGTATGATTTTGGCCTTTCAATAGGAAAACCTCTGTAATAAAGTAAAGTCATATGTTAATATACGAAATATAATATACGAAATACTAATTAATTAGTTATAGGGAAAGTACATACAAAGCTCTATCCCAAATTAACTGGCTTAAAACACCTAAAGATCTTGAGACACCGAAAAGTACAGTATAATAGTTTTGCTCAACTAGGCCATAATACTGTAATAATACACCCGAATGAGCGTCAACATTCGGCCAAGGATTTTTTGTTTTACCGTGTTCAAGTAATACACCAGGTACAATATTATAGAGTTGTGATACGAGCTTGAAAAGAGGATCATTTGGAAGATGTTTTAATGCGAAATCACGTTGTGCTGAGTATCTTGGATCCTGAAATCAAGATAGGTTACAATCATACTAGTCAATAGAATAGCTTAGGACTATATAAAGCTCACCGTTTTACGGAGAACAGCATGTCCGTAACCCGGGACTACTTTTCCGGACTTCAGGGTATTCCAGACATATTCTTTAACAGTTTCATCGGAGGGTGAATCACCGATAGTATCCTTCATTTGGAAAATCCAACGAACTACTTCCTGATTGGCAAGACTATTTAAAGTAAATATTTAGTATATAAGGCCGTTCACCTGGGTAAAAATAAGTACATATTTTTGGATAAGCAAACTTACCCATGTAATGGACCTGCCAAACCATTTAGAGCCGCCGAAAATGCAATAAATGGGTCAGAAAGTGCACTTCCTACTAATCTCTGTAATAAATAAATTTTATGATTAAATGTATATTTTGAAAAGTGAATTTTATTTAATTACCATCGTATGAGCAGATACGTTTCCACCTTCATGATCAGAATGAATTGTGAGGTAAAGTCTCAATAATTCCACAAAATCCTTATTATCCGAATATCCTAAAATTTTTGCCAAATTATACGAATAATCCTTGTCTGGCTCAATCGGCGGCACTTTACCATCTTTATAAACATTTCTGTAAATTCTGCCGGCCACATTTGGTAACTTAGAAATTAAATCCATTGCATCTTCGTATAAGTATTGCCAATATTCATTCTTATTAACGCCGGTCTGATAAGCTTTTGCAAAATTCGAATCATGTTGTAGAGCTGTGACAGCCAATGAGAATTGAGACATCGGATGTAGAGTATTTGGGCATCTGTCGATAAGATCTTCAACAAATGAAGGAATCGCCGAGCGAGCTGCTAATTCGGCTGAAAGTGCTTGAACTTGTTCTTTTGAAGGAATTTCACCAGTTACTAGGAGCCAAAAAAGACCTTCAGGTAACGGCTCTTCACCACCGTCTGCTTTTGGAAGTAGTTCCCGACATTCATTGATGGTATAACCACGGAACTCAATACCTTCGTCCGGGTCCAACACAGAACCTTCCCATATTAAGCCTTTGATACCCCTCATACCACCATAAGCCATATCGACCGTAACATTTCCCAAGCTTTTAGCACCATGTTCTCTTTTGATATTTTTTACTTCTTCTTGCTTTTCAGGAACTAGTTCATGTAGGCGCTCTTTAAGAGTCTGTTATAGATAAAATGAATTTATATATTCGTATTTCGTATTTTTAAAATGATATTGTAGTGTAGGGTTACTTCCGATTACTTTAATAAGCTTACTTTTGGTTTCGAAGCGTATAACCGAGCAATACCAACAAAAGAAGTTGGAAAAACTTGATTTAATGCCGGTTTACATATAACAACCTATGTAAATAATGATAAAAGAAAAGAAAAAAAAAAGTGCGTCAAACCGTGTTTATAATTTCCAACGATATTTATTATACCTACAATAATAAAAAGAGTTCTTTATTAAGGTTCAAACCTTTGATATGCCAAAAGAAACACGAGAAGAGATACGAAATAATGACATGATAAATTTCTCGAAGTTTTTTTTTTTTTTCTGTATAGTACGTAGATGAGATTACACATATATAGATAAACTTTGTTCACGGATCATTGCCCGATGAAGATAGTTATACGAAAAAATTCAGATTGCGTTATCTGTGAAACGTTTTATGCTAAGATCAAGATGACCAGAATTGTGAAGTGTAAAATACCCTAATATGATATATTTAGGACCAGCTGTAAATTTTGAACTTCTAACACTAAACGCTAAGATTATGCCATAAATTGATCTTGGCTCTCCGTTTTTTTCCGAGTAACACGCGAAATTTGAATCTTTGCCCGGTTTGCAGAATCACCTATAATTCTATTGGCCAGTAATTTATAATTTGTTACGTAGGCAGGAAAACAAAATTACTATCGGCCAATAGAATTGCATGTTCACGTAGATGTTACACGTGAGGATCATGTTTTAGGTTCACTAATTGTATACATCGGAATCCCCCGAGTCTTCATCTCATCTCCCCTCTTTATTCATAGACAGACAGTTTAAAAGTACTTTTTGAAAACGTAACGTTTCACTACAGCACTAATAAAAAATCACCGCAAAAGCCATTTTTCGCTTCGTA